GTAATTGACCTCATAGCTTCTTTTCAATCATTTATAGTGCTCAATATTTATATATTATTCCCAAAAATAAAAATATACTAAAACCCATATTGATGGGGCCCTCTGGAACTATGAAAAGGTCAAAATAGTAATTGGCATGTTGCCGCGGGTGTAAGCCACGTGTCCGTATCTCTTGATTCTTTTTCATTCGTGCGTTGCATGTCTTTAAAGGTTTTGTTCTTAATGGTCCAAGGTCATATTCGTATTTAACGTTTAATTAAAAATTTCAAATTTAAATTTTTTTAAATAAAAGAAACATTGTATATTTTAAAAATGTCATTTTAGTTAAAGTATTCATATATATCAAGGACAATAGTAAAAATGGAAAAACATAAATCTCTTTATAGAGAACTTCTAAAATTATGATAAAATAATTATTTAACAATAAAAGTATATTAAAAGTCATAATAATAAAAATCGATAAGTATCTCAAAATTATAACTATTTTTGATTTAAGAATAACTCGCAACCGTTACAATTTCTTTCGCAATCTTTGCCTTTTGAATGAGCACTTTGTGCGTACTAAGTAAACCCTTACTGTGTAATAGCTTGCAAACTATATAAAAAATGTGATTAGCACCAGACAAATCCTATGCGACAAGCTCGACTCAGAGGGCATTGGAGAGAATCGATCTGGGGTTATAATTATAACTTTCTCTCTAATTAAATACTTTGGATTTGAAAAAAAATTCAGCTTCAATTGTGGGGTGATGACACATAATTAAATTGTATAATGTGTGAGTTCATATTTAATTAGATTTTAATATGAATATCGAATATTAATGAAGAAAAACATAAGAAGTCTAAGCAATATAGGTTTGAAATCATGATCTCCATAACATCTTAATCATTGTTTGTTAATAGTTATTATTCCTGGAATCTCTACGTATCAATAAATTTTGTATTTGTTGATGACCATATACTTGAAATATATATCAATTGTTAGAAAATATAATATTTGTACAGTAATCCATAGACTTTGATAATCTAATCATTGTTCTTAAACAAAAAAAAAACTAAGCTTCCTTCTCACGTTCTTAAAAAAATTAAGCTTCCTTGAGTTTCACTATTTAACTCCAAATTTGCAACTATGTTTCTAAAAGGGGTTTATATTTTAAAAGAATGAACACTCTCGCAATAACTGATTGCATGAATTAATTCTGAAGTTTGAATTTCATGAAACGTTCGTGGATTATGAAACTCCAACAAATGAATCCGCCTGTCAACATTTTCGAGTTATGTGACAACTGACAAGAGAATTGAGTCAATTTGCACTCCCCTTGAACACTAGACCTATGCCATTGATTATTCTTCAACCATTTCGTTGGATTTCTATATCGATACAATTAGACCAAGCAATTCTGTTCACTAAATCTTAAATAAATAGAAAGAATTTTCTTTGTAGAGATTTAACCTCAATTATCTCATGATTTCTCCCACTTTATTTGTGAGTTCACACTAACAAATGATCACATTCATAAATGATAGATCAAGAAAGGCAGATGGAAAAAAATTGACAAAATTTGTATATAATAGTAAACTAATATCCTAAGTTAAATGAAATAGCTAGGGTTTGATTTAATTGTGCTCCATAGCAAACATTAGCTAAAATTTGCCAGCGTCTCTCTCCCAAAAATCTCGCTCGCCACTCTCCATTCTCGCTCGCCTCTCTCGCTTTATACACAGAAGTGTATAATTCTGTTTCTGTTTTGTATAAAGCGAGAGAAAATTGTATATACACATGCAAAATTGTATATCTTCGTGTTATAAACTTAATTATACAATTTACAAATATTTTACTTCAAATATTGCAGAGAAAAAGGCCAACGAATTATACAATTGCGAATTATACAATTGCAGTGAAATACAATTTTCTCTAGCTTTATACAACAGAAGTGTATATATTGTGTTTCTGTTTTTGTATAAAGCGAGAAAAACATATATCTTCTTGCTATAAACTTATAATTATGCAATATACATACATTTTAATTCGATTCAACTGTATGCAAAAACAAATTATACAATTGCAGCGAAATAGGCCAGCGAATTATACAATTTAGGCCAGCGAATTATACAATTATATATGTATAGCAAATTATACAGTTTTATGTTTGCTATGGAGCGCAATTATACAAAGTTTGCTATAACATACAAATATGAATTTTTTGTTTGCTATATGTGAAAGTTGCCCAAAAAAAATTTACATTGCGAAAGTGCTAATAAAACCTCATGCATTACCTCAATATCTTTGCAAAAACAACATAGTCGGTATAATCCCATCCCATCAAGTGAGGTTTGAAGAGAGGTAAATATATGCGAACTTATATCTCGTGAAAATAAAAAGGTTATATCCAAACGGATGAAATATAAGACGTTGTGAATAAATGAGATGATGTTGCCATAAGTAACAATTCGAAAAGAACAAAGCAACATACCCAGTACTTATATAAGGAAAAAACATCAAAATAAAAGGGCACCTTTCACGCAAAATGCTGAATAATCTTTTCATGCCAGTACTATAACAGTATTGAAAACATCTCTCATGCAATTGGTGTGTTAGTTTTTCAAAGCCCATTTTCCCTTTTCCAATTTTTTTAAAAAAAGGAAGTATCATTATTAGGAAAAATTACGTGATTAAACAAATTTATATTACTTAATTACTCATCATAGTTATAGTTTGCTATAATTACTACTCACGACTAACATTATACATTAATTATGTGGACTGACTTCGAGTTTGTATAATTAGTACATTCGTATATGTATAATTCGCCAAAATATACATATGTATAATATACTATTATCTAATCAATGTACATATATAATTCATCTCTCTCCCACTCTCTGCCCTCTCTTGCTCGCCTCTCTCCTCACTCTCCTAATCTCACTCGCATCTCCTCTCTCTCTCATTATCACTTGTTTTTTATACAAATGCATATGTATAATATACAATTATCTAACCAATATACATATAAATTCACCTCTCTCCAACTATGTCCTCTCTCGCTTGCCTCTCTCTCGCGATCTCGCTCACCTCTCTCCTCTCTCTCCAAATCTCACTTGTCGTAAATACAAATACATATGTATAATTATATACAATTATCTAACCAATATACATATACAATTCACTTCTCTCTCGCCTTTTGCTCTCTCTTCTCTCTCCTCTCTCGTGTCTCTTCCAGTCTCGCTCGCCTCTCCACTCCTTATAACATGTAGCTACGAATTGTAATTATTAAACTATAACTATAGAAAGTAATTAGGTTGTTTCTAATGGCTACACGTGAAAGTTTCCCTTATTGTTATTATTTATGTAATATCATATGGACGTTAAGAGTTAAAATTTGTATACCTTCCAAAGATGCTATTATTTGAATTTGTTCATAATTAACACCTGCCTCCCTTGATTTTAGATGTATATATAAAAAAATTATACATACTTGTATAATATGAATTTTTTTATACATACATACAACACACACACAGAGACATAATTTAAACTAAATTAGGATATATATATATATACGTGAATATATATATATATATATATATATATATATGGAGTAAATGATCAAAAACATTTCTCAATTATACCTCAAACTTAGATTACATCCTTATACTATATAATGAACAAAAAAAACACTCCTAAACTATCTTAAAAATTACAACTTACATCCCTGAACAAAAAAAACACTCCTAAACTATCTTAAAAATTACAACTTACATCCCTCTATTAGAATATGTCCAGAAACTAACGATTTCAACTAAAAATTGCAACATCTCTTCTTCATCTCGAGCATGAATCAATTCATGTATTGCACCAAATTCTACAAGTGACATAATTTTGTTACTTGATCAACACCAATTTTCACTTTTATGTTCTTTACTTCTTTCCAAATAACATTACCCTCATCCCAACAGAACTTCATCATTGAGGAAACATGAAATTGTAATTATTAAGCATAAAGAGCTCACATTTTATTCAATTAACACTGATTTTATATTAAATAGTGAGGTCACATGTCATTCAAATAGCAAATATGGACGTGATTGGCGATTCAATGTTCAAATTTCGAGATAATAATATTTTTTTAATAATACCCACAAGGATGTCGAGTTGGTTGAGCAAGATGATTCCGAATTCATTGGTACAAAATTTTCTATATGTTTGCTCGATTAAGCTCGTTATATAAGACTTGCTTAGTATAGTTACATTTCTAGTGTAATTCGCGAGCTATTACATTTAAGCGAGAGTTGTATATATACCTGAATCGTGATGAATAATACTTGTGAGCTTCCTTGTCAACGACAAAAAACATATTTATTTCACACATTACAATTATATTGTTCTATTCCATCTTATATAAAATTTGATCCATCTTACATCTTTTTTTTTTTATCGTAAATTGTCGATTAAACAACGTAATTTTGTAAGACCCATCGAATTCAACACACGCGTCGGTTCATGACTGACGTAAAATATAGATATAACAAATTTTTTTTATTGAGGATGTTAATTTCTCATCAAACTTTAATAGAGTAATGTAAATCGTAATTTTTTAGGATAATTTAAGGAATAAAAGTTTAAGGTATTAAGTTGAAATGTTTTTAACTATTTACTTCATATACATGAAATACCTAATATAAAAAGTTGGTATTAATATAAATATATAAAAATAAATCATTCTCGATATTTTAACTATATCATAAATCGAGATTAAAGAAGGAATAATAATAATTGATGAATACGCATCGGTCTTATCCTTTTGAACACACAATACACGTGGGACCCATATTGAAATCATTTTTAGCAACACGCACATTCATTGAGTCGGTGAATGTAACCGCCAAACTCCGGGTTCGGGCTGTTATTCGGGCTTAAAACGGCCCGATTAATAGCACCCGACTTATTACCGACATTACCCTTCTTTAAAATGCAAAATAACAAGAATAATAAAGTCGGTGTCGATCCATTGGATAGCTTGGAGGGCATATTCGTCCACCTAAATATCTTTGATCTCTGCGCATACAAGGAGGAGAAGACTTGCTAAATTTTTTTGGGCCGACTTAGGGTTTGACATCCACCACCACCGCTCGTTGCTTGCTGGAGAAGGAGGAGGAGGTTGAAAAATTCATCATCTGTCGACTTCTTATCATCGATCCTTGTAGTAATCGATCGTTGATCTGTGTAACAATTTCAGTTTTTTTAATGTAAGTAATCTATTGGCTAATTTCATATACACGAATATATGTGTTGAGATTATCATGTATATTGCTTAATTATATGTGTATGTGTGGATTTTAGTGTATAGGATGTTATTTTTTGTTTTAGGTGAAAGTTATCTTATTTTTTTTATGTAAGGTGTAGTTATGTTAGTCAACACTTGGATTTTGTTGATAAAACTAGCGATTGATGTTTCTGAAATTGGAATATCTAACTGGCGTTGGAAATAGGAGAATTTTAATCTATATGATGTATTTTTTGGGAAAATATAGCATGTCTTATTGTGATGTAAGTGGAAGCTTTGTTATTTTGTTCATGTAGCTTTAATTGTGTTGTTGAACACTTGGAATTTGTAGGAAATAACTGATTCTTTTAGTGAATACTAAAAATATATTATGTTATATCGTAGTAAAGGTGAAAGCTATCTTATTTTTTTCATGTAGCTGTAATTGTGCACGTGGAATTTGTAGTAAAAACTGGTGAATGATGATTCACACTCCTGAAATTGGAACAATGTCCTATCGGTGTTGGAAATAAGAAAATTTTTCTAAGTTGCTCAATTCTTAATGGTGAGAAAAAATACTAGGCTATTCTTTCCACGCGTCCTAGCCTTAGTGGAAATAGAGATATCTAGTACCTGTTGCTCGAAGGAGGTGGTGGGTATCTCGTGGAATGTGTTGTGGTGCGCGAAAGTTGGCTTAGGGGTGTTAGTTCATTTATGTTTATATTGTTAATTAGGAGATCAATTGAGAGCTGCTCTTTTATGTACGTTATTGAGCGTGTCATGTAGTTGTAATTATGTTATTGAACACAGAATTTATCGAAAAAACTAGTGAATGATGATTCATGTTGCCAAAATTGGTTATGTTCTCTCCTAACTGGCATTGAAGAAGTACCAGGGTACTTGCAAATTGCTGAATTTTCTTAAAAGTTCTGTAACTTGCGATTTTTTTCAATATGTTATCTGGAATTAAAAATCAGTTTTTACTTATTCGTGCAGTGAGTTTTATGTCATTGGTGGTGTTAGTTCCTTTTGCTTTTATTGTTGATTAGGAGATCAATTGAGCTCCTGGATGGGAAATTTGAGCTGTTGTGAATAGTTCATCACTAGTAATTTTATCTCATTTCCTCTTTACGTTTTTCCCCCACCTATTATATGTGTACGCACCATCAGGTTATGTCCTTTCCCTGTCTACTTGATTTGTTTTCTTCACACTAAGGTCTGATTTTTGTGTTCTACCACTTGGCCAGCTCGAATTCTATCAATAAATAGATTGTGATTTTCTTGATGTGTTTGCGTAGGAGTAGGGGCATTGCTGTATTAATATCTTCAAATTGTTGGAAGGTCTGGGGTTTATTTATTTTTTTCCTCTGTTGAATGTTTCGGTGTGTCAATTTTACACTTTGGGCTATTTTGTTGATTATATTTGATGCGTATACCTACTGTTATCTTATTACCTAAGTTTGATTTCTTTTATCACATGCCAGACTCCATGTCAATGGCATTTAGCACGGAGATGAATCCTGTGTGCGCTAAAACAGTAGTTCTTACTTCATTTTCCGAATGAACTGAGATATTAGGAATTGCATGTGTCGAAGTGGTTTTAAAAAAATTAATGGCGTGTAGTGCATGTAAGCGGGGATAGGGTGGGCATACAAGCAAACAGATCGATCGAACAGTTCCAGTTTTGGTTATCAAAAAAAGAAATTTTCAGTTTTGTCCCCCCTTTAAAATCGGGTGTGGAAGTTTCCTTTCACCCGGCTCAAGTTGGTACATGTCTTTCCATTTTTTTGGGCCAGTTAACAGTTCGTATTTTTTCATTTAGTCGTTTTGGTTCTGGTCCGGTTTTAATGATTTACCGACAAACCAAAGTTTTGGGCTCGTTAACATCTTACTTAGTTGCACTTAGCTTTGCCTTATAACCCAAAACTGAATCTCATTCTGAAGAAGCCCAAACCTCCATAGCCCAAGTCAAACTGTTGCTGTTGTTGCTAGTTTCAAAAAAAAAAAAGTAGGTCAAAACTTTTGCTATTGCTGGTCGCCTGGTCTGTGCCTTACCATTCGGCTATCATTGTGACCCACTATCTTAATGTTGTCTCTCAATCTCTTCCCCGTTACTAAGGTTATATCATATGTGTATTTTAATTTCTTGTTCTTTGTGTTTGCTGCGGTGATAAAATTTACCGAGCATACACTGAAATTTATGTTTTATTTCAGCGAAATTGCAGTGTATGCTGATAGATTAAAATTTTAACTCTTAAATCATTCAAAAAGAATAATCAGTGGTCACTTTAATCACTTTCCACAAACCATGTCATTTCTGTGTTGTGGGGTAAGATCATTTTGTAGATAGATTGAGTCGTCGATAAGCTCGTTTGACATGTTATCAGGTACATATTTTTCATTTAACTTTCTTTATTTTGAAACTTCAAACAGCTATCAGGTCATGAATTCATAAGAAAACAGACTACATAGTCTTTCACCTTTTAGTTTCGTGGGGCTTTGTTGCCTCAAAATTCTTAGTTTTCTTCGTCATGATTTCCCTAGAGTCTAAAGTGAATGTATTTTGTATTTGCCTTGAAGTTATGTGTCATTGCTATGCAATTTCTATGAAGAGAAAGAGAGAAGAAAGAAGTTTCTATTTATTACCTGAGATCTATTAGACTTGTAGTAAATCCTTTTCTCATAGAAGTATTTTCTGGACCTTTTTTTGTGGCCTTCCGAAAAGAAGGTCAATTTGACAGGCCCAAAAACTGCTTTGTCAAAAAAAAAGGGACAGCCCAAAACTGTAGAACTGGTACTTTCAGTTCAGTTTTGGTGACCATAATTGTGAAAAACCAAAAACGTTCTTCTGCAAAACTGAACTGAACCAACTGACACCTACTCTTGAGTTGAGATATCTTATTGTTAAGTTGAACGCTCTCTTTCTTTTACTCGTGAAACCGTAAAGCTTAGAGACCGGTTGTTTCGTTCATGAAGTTGTAAATTGTATTATTATCCTGTGGAACTTGTCAAACAAAATGATTCACGCTCTACAAGTTGGTATGTTCTCTCCCAATTGCTGTAAAAAAGGGTATTTCTAAATTGCTGATTTTGTGTGTTATGTATCAACGTTTTGTACATTATCTGGAAATAATATCTGTTTTTTCTTATTGTGCAGTGAGTTTATATTGTTAATAAGGGCACTAGTTTGTCTAGCTCTTATTGCTGATTAAGTGATCAATTGAGAACTGCTCTTGGATGCATTTTTGTGCGTGGTATGTTATGAGAAGTTCATCACTGGTAATCTTACCCAACTATAGCTTGTAATATTTCACATGCTGTTTGTTGGTTGGTAATATGTTATTTGTAGTTTTCAGATCTCCTTGTATCAATTTCAGAAAGCTAATTTGTCCACATCCAGTTTGACTAGAAAATTTGTCATGTTGATCTTTTGAAAAGCAAAGACATGTAGATGGAGGGACTATGTTTCAATTAGTTATGAATTATGTTGGATGCAATCTTATGTACCATATATTGGTGTTATTGTTTTGATTTTGTCAGGTTTATCAACTTCTGTCAATGGCATGGATGTGGTCTCTCTGAGGCGAAACTGAGGCCGGTTTGTATATAGCTGTTATCTTTGAACCTTTGGCTTTAAACCAGTGGATAGGGATTGATCCTGTAGGTAAACATGGAAACAAAATTCGAAAAGGTATTGGATAGAAGCCGGAACATTGTTGTTGACTTGAAGAGAAAGCGGGAAGCTCGATGCGAGACCCATCTCTCTGGGGCTACACACGTGATATTGCCAGTGCGACCCTTGCTGAACTCATCAATCCGCCCGCTTGGAAAGCGGACGAAGCTGAATGGATCAAGAAGCAGGTGCGGTGGCTACAAATTTCACCAAAAAGAATCTCTACTTAGATACTATCTTAATTTTAGGAGAAGTGGGCTTCCACAACGTCTGATGTACTATCAGAACAGTCAATGGACTGATTTCCCTGAGAACATTGTGTCAATGGCTAAGCAAGATCTCCGGACAAAGAGATCTGCGAGGGAGGTGGTATTCAATGGTAATAACTATGTGCTAGATTTCTTCCATATGATGCTGTTGGACCTGAAGTCAGGTATGCAGCAGCCTATTGCATGGATTGATGAAGCAGGCAAGTGCTTTTTCCCAGAAGTCTTTGCTTATTGTGATGAACTGCATGAGCCATGTCACTGTGAAGACAATGACTGCGTAGACGTGGATTCTGAGACGGAGGGATCCAATGATCTGGAGTTGCGACTGGAGATTGAAGTTAATGGGGCGGATATATCAAGTTCGGAGGAATCTAGTGGAGAGTCCAATGCTAATTTTGAGCAAGTGAACTTTTGTCATGAACCTGCAGCGAAAAATCGCATTGCAGAAGTTGGTGATGATCATGTCAGGATATCAGATACAAAAGCCAAGGACGATTCTGTGGAAAATTATCAAATGGTGGAAAATGCTGTCGGCAGGTACGACTCTAAGTGGAAACATATGGACCCCAAAGCTGTGAGTGAGATGTTCCTCAAGGGTATCAGTTCATCTGCAAGTGCAAACATAATTGACTTGCAACGTATCTCAAGTTCTTTCATGGAAGTTCGAAAGGAACTCTTTCAAAAGCAGGTGGAAATTTTGAGGAAGCATCGTGGGGATGCCACTGTTAGTTATGCTTGGCTTCCTTCTTCTAAAGGAATGATTACGAGTATTATGAAGTATGGGCTTGCTAATTATTATCCATCCAGAACCAACTCCAGTTACGGCATTGGTGTTCATCTTTTCCCTGCTAATTGCAGTGAGATCAGGTAGTGTTGTTTCCACCTTTTGATTTTCAGTCAAACTGAATTTTTGTGCAATATGGACAAAGTTGAAGGAGGACATTACAGGTGCATTTTGGAAACAAGTTCTTTTGGTTGGTAGAACGTGTAATGATACGTAACCTATGTTTTTCTGAAAATAGTGGGGTAGTGACAACGCAACATTCATAAACCTCGGGGTGGGGTGGGGGTGTCCGAAACTTCCGTGTAGTTTTGCTGATAAGACGGGGCTGAATGCTTGTTGTGTTGTATGCCTCTGCCTACATGCTATGCTGATCCAAATTTTGGGAAGTAGGATCGGTCTTAAGCTTATTGATTTCATCTTATGTTTAGGCAACTTATAATTTCCATAGTATTTGTCATCAATAACAGTGGAATATCAATCAAGTTTGTCAGTTACTGGTTTCTGTGTTTTTTCCTTTTTTTTTTTTTTGTGTATAGTACCTGTCCATTTTCCTGAATGGTTATTTGTTTGAATTTTCACAGAAGATCCTTCTTGTTGATATTCAGGTTTTTAATACTAGACTAGATCGGTTTTGATCCAGCCAGCGTTAATGATCTCCCACGTTATTCTATCCGTTTAATTGATTCCTTGGTGCTTGCCAGATTACATACCTGGCTTGTAAAAGATGCAAATAATGATCTGTGTTATGTGCTGATATAATTGTGTTCAAGTAATTTCATAGGGTTTTAGAGGAATTTCATGTACACAGTCGGTGTTCCATGCTAGCCTTTTGTGTCATTGTTGTCTTGAGATTCCACTTGTTATGGTTGTCTTGCTGATGTTGGATAAGATGTTCTTCGATCCTAAAAGGAGTTCATTTTATTTGGTTGCTTCTCCTTTTTTGCTTTGAATTTTAGGCCCTCTGCGGCTGACCTGTGCCATAATCGCATTTTTTTGTCGATTTGTTTGTTCTCATAATGAAGTTTATTGATGTTGGTGCTTTCATCTTCTTTACAGTGCAAAATGTTCTGATGTTGACGAAAATGGTGTACAATACATGGTTTTATGCCGTGTAATAATGGGAAACATGGAAGTGGTTTGTCCTGGATCAAAGCAGTTCCATCCCAGTAGTGAGGATTTCGATAATGGTGTCGATAGCGTTGAAAATCCGAAGTGTTATGTAGTCTGGACTATGAATACGAGTACACACATATTTCCAGAATACGTCGTCAGTTTCAAGTTCTCTTCTGATTCTGAAGGTGACTATTTAAGTCCTTCTATGGTTACTGTATTCAATAGTCAACAGAAAGTTGTTCCCCTTAGTTAAACTTGAGTTAGATGTTCATGAACTGTCTCTTAAATAATCCTACAATGTAAATGCTGCCATAGGAACATTTTTTTTTCATTTTTGCAGAGAAGGAAGCAAAAAATAATCCCAACTTTATTTGAATGTTCAAACCCCTTCCAACTTTTAAATCATCATGTCCATGCCCATTTCTTAAAATTAGTAGATATGGACAATAAACAATAAATATAGTTTTTCTAATTATTTAGCTGATTAGTGCTATGGGATTTGTATTTGTTGTTCTGTGTCATGTTTATCCTGTTTAGACACTTGAACCTTACCGCCATGGTATTTTTTCTTTCATCTACTACTTTTTCTTCATGTTGTGCTGAATTTTGTGTCAAGATTGATTCTTAATGTGTTAATCTCTATTGTTGGGAGGTGGGTGATTTGAAACTGAGGTTATGCAAAATAATCTGAATGTTTTTAAAATTTTGGGAGGGATTGCAAATTCGATCAATAAAGAAGAGAATTTGATTTTGAGAGTTTGAAGGTGATCATGTCTCTGGCCTCTGCTCAACTTATCAGTTGTGGGGTCTTCTATTTCAGGGTCCTGATTCAACTTAGACCTTCCTACATGTTGGATGCATATATCCAGTTTTTTTTTGTCCTGCCATCCTTCAATGTACTTTTCATCTTCTTCTGCATGGTGTTGTACGAATAAATCACGGGCCAATGTGTTTCGGATTTTAAATTTGAGAAACACTTGGTATATTTTGTCTTGAAGTCTTGCAAAATAAGAAAGCAGTTGAATTGTCTTCACCATGTTTATCTTTACAGGATATCTCGTCGGAAACAGGAGCCCAAATGTCTCAGCTGTCACTAGTTGTCAGGGCCCTGCGGATAAGGTACCGGCGGATACACTTCCTGCTGTCTTGGTGAGTCTATTGACATTTATAGATTTGTCGACTTGGGCGGATTTTGTTTTTTGGTTTTCATTTAACAATAGATGGGAGGATTGGAGGATGTTTTTTGGATATGAAACAGGTGTCAAGGATCTTTTTGGATACGAAACAAGTGTGAAATTGTTTAGCAGATAATGCAGTAGAACTAGGTTTCTTTGAACACTTTTTGATGGTGTCCAGCATGTCCTTAATACCGAGGAATACACATTTACCAGTTCTTTAAAAAAATAACTTTTTTTTTATCAACGTTGAGAGGAGTCGAGCTACAGAGAGGGTCTTCCAAGACCACGCCATGAATTTCTCGGCAAGTGTTGAGGCCTCAAATTCTCATCCTACAGCGGACACAATGTTGCAAATATTAGTACCTCAAATCATCTCTCTAAACAACACTGAGGTTTCTATTTCTTAATCGCATGATAGTTCCCTCTAGGGAACACAGTTAATGCCTATGGCCTGAAGGATGTATTCTGCTCATGCAATTGCAGAATAAATGCTGCCGCTGAGCATCTGCATTAGCTGCTGGAATGATTGTTAGTTTAGTAAACATGCATATAAACCTTTTCTTTTTAGCTGACAATATAGTCAAACATGCCTTCTGCAGGGTGTAGTACATTTCTTTAGATCTTGAACTCGGTTTCATAAGTAGATGATACTTAAGTCGTTAGTTTCTACACGCAGCTTCCCAAAGCTCAGACAGTTATGTAGTTAGCAATATAGGTTTATTATAGTGTGAGTTCTTGGGCCATATCCTTTTTTGTGTTTTTTCCCTTTCAAATTTTGGACTACCCAGCCTCATCCAGCGAGCCTGACTTTTGAACCGAACTGTGGAGAGGGAGTGGATGCCGTGCTAGTTTGACAAATCTGCATCTTCAGCAACAGTCATTTACTCATTCTAGTGCTCCTCATTAATTTGGTGGAGGTCCTTTCAGCTAACAATTACTCTATGGTCCTCTATAGGGAAGTGACTGCTATCAGAATTCACTAGGCTTGGCCTCAAAAAAGGCTTCAAGGACTCCGAAGTCCCCTTGGATGCCGTTCCCCATGTTGTTTGCAGCAATTTCGAGGAAAGTGCGTCAAGAGGATATGAACCTTGTTTGTAGCAATTATGAGTTATTCAAGGTATATACAATTGCATCTGTTGAAGGCAGCCATGTTTTTCTAGAAAAAGTCAAATTCTTGTTGGAGAGCTTGAATCGTTACTTTGATAATTTCCTCTCTTGTGTTCATGACTTGGTGTATTCTGGCATTTGGCAGGGCAAGAAAATAAACAGGGATGAATTTGTCAGGAAGTTGAGGTTGATCGTAGGGGACACTTTGTTAAGGTCCACTATAACTAGTCTTCAGTGCCAGGTACGCCCTTTGCTTTTTTCCAAGGAAACAGGTGCTACCGAGCTAGTTTGTCAATGCTTCAATCATAATATCATATATCCATATGTCCAAAAGTTTTTTTCTCTATGTTGATTTCCAATTTGTGTGATTTTCAAGTGTCCCATATTGGTTGTGGGTATGGAATGCTTTCTCCTTAGCTAACATGTGAAGTGCGTAACAGTGGTGCCATATTTCAGTTCTACTCTGTGCATTGAAAGTTGAAAAGTTAAATGTTTCATCTTTGTTCTCATTGATTAGGAATTTAGAATTTACTTGATGAGCTGGGCATGTTACTTGGTGGAGTTCTCTGTTTCGTTGTTCGTACGTTTCACTTGTGAGAGGGACTACACGGGATATGTTTTGAAAATTTTCTTTGGTGCTCTTTGTCAGGTACCACCTAAATCAATGGAAATGGTCTCTGTAAAGCAAGAACAGGAGAGCATCTGTCTGGAGTGACGGCGTCTGTTTTATTTGTTGCTTTTATGAATAACTGTTTTTGCTAGGCTATAGGAACTAAATAGTTGGACGTATCTATTACTTTTTACTTGAATATGTGGTAGCTTGATACTCTGGAGAAATATGATGAGGGCTTAGTTTTCACCCGTCCAGGACTTCTGGGGATTTGTTTGCCGAAGTAAGTGCCTACGGAGTTGGAGCTTTCAGGTATATCTAGCGAGTAGCTCCGATTATTAAGTTTCGTTACATGTATTTCATCCTGAATTTGTTTGTTGGTACTCTATAAACTGTTAAACAATGTATGGGCAATCTTGTGTACACATTGTGTTTCTGATGCCATTAGTTTCTTACGCTGCTGTGGATGCATACATGTCCATCGTCTTACTTTGGTTTTGTGGATGGACTTAGTTTGTTAAGAATGATGTCTGATCAAAGGGCGTGCCAACATTATGTATAATTTAATATAAGCACATGTACAAATCCTCAATAACGGAGAATTTAGTCATTCACCATTTCTCACCACCTTCCTTTCTTTATCACTCTCATCAATCGCGTTCCGTTACGACATAAAGGGGTGTTTGGACTTGTACAACGTTGATCAGGAATTGTAACACCAGCTTCTTTCCTGTTCTTTGTTTTTATGTCGTCGTGCTAACCCATTTCGTCTCCTAATTTGTTCCACCTTCTACCTTGCATAACATTATACATAAATTGCCTCATAGGTTTTGTTGGTATTAATTACGTATGACTACAATCAAATACCGCATAAATTAATACATGAATAATTTTTATACAACATTTAAATTCTTACCAATCAAACATGATATGAATTACGTTAACTTTTATATCTAACACAACTTTAATCAAACATAGTAAAATTAATGTAATTTTTAATACATGTATAAGATGTTTCTTATATAATAATCAAACGGCTCCTAAATGATCTTATATAGTATCTAGAAATATATGCATAGCATTACACTAACAAAACACAATAGAGTTTATACAGTACCAAATAAAGTATTAATAATCTTAGAGCTAATGCATGCACCAATTTTACAAATACACTTTGTCGAATGATATCGAGTTGCATTTTTGGTTAGACAAAACACATATTTTTTGGGGAAGAAATGTATTTCCTTTACCCAAAGAAGAGACTTTTTGAAACGTACCAAGCTCCAAGACAAATATCCAACCTTGAAGCAACTTTGAAAACAGTGGTTTTTTTTTTCTTTAGCCAATATTTTTTTTTCTTTTTCAAGGATAAATACATTTTTAAGTGGGCAATGATAATAAAGAATATATGTAGGGCATTTTCTATGAGGTTCACTTCTTAAAGTCTTTAGAAAGATTCAATATGTCTACAATTTATTGGGGCTTTTTGCTAGTCTTATTATAAAAAGGATTCTATACCTAAACCAAAGTCAAATAGAAGGACCAAATAAAGGAAGGGTGGAAATTTACCACTTAAAGTAATGTATTGTTGGTATGATTAAGGAAAATGTTCGAACTTATTTATTTAGATGGCAATAGAAAGCATCTTGTGATCACATAAAATCCAGAAAAGAGTAACAATGATACAGACAGTCTAATCTTGTAATACAAACATTAATAATTAGTTTCGTGGTTCATACATGTAAACCTATAGCACGTATGAATTGAAGACAACTTCTCTATTTGTATGGTCAAGTCTTTCTTTGAGGATATTTCATTTTTGCTTGTTAGGAAAGGATCACTTTGCATCATTCATTCTTGGAAAGTGTTTCAAATCCTCAAGTAGAATAGGGGAATATTATGAGAAGGATTTATGTTATTTATTTTTTACAATTTTGATAAGGACTTTTCATTGTCACCACAAAGGCATTCGAATAATAGAATATAATGCAAAGAAATGGACTTTTATATATCTTATCTAATTGTTACCCTTTTCCATGAAATAGGGAAAGAATTGATTTTTTTACTCGATGTTTGATATTCATTTTGAATCCTGATTAATTTAAAATTATAAAAGTTTCACCTTTTTGGGGCAGATGATAAATTACTATGCAGCAAAGACCATTCTCGAAGTTAAAAATGGATTGATTCTTACATAACCTATCATCTTTACTGTGTTAACTGCTCCTTACGTCTCAATTTATATGACATTTTCTATATTTAGAGATTAAGACAAGCATATCTTTGATCTTAATTTATAATATATATATTCAAAAATTTAAATGTTCCATATTTGAATTCACAATTAAAATTAACTTATCTTAATCTCAAAATTTTGAATTAATAATGAAGAATAAGCCAATATAAGTAGTGCATTACAAAACTCAAAAGATTATGAAACACATGATATGATATGATAAAGTAAGTGAAGAATATTGTCAATGAGAAAATGTGCTCCTCTATGTATTCCTTACAATTATTTTTGTTAAAATCTTATCACTATATTACAACATCTTCTCAAGTTGTCAATTCTAGACACCCCTTTTCCTTTTCATCTTTCTGGAATCTATAAGTTGTGTGGGATATGAGTACTCTTGGAAAAATATTAAACTTTTATGAATGAAAAATGTGAAAATGATTTAAAGTTTTTTTTTTCGAATTAAAAAAGAAAAAACTCGAAATTCAACTTGTGAATTCCAGGAATTTTAACAAATTGAAGTTGAATTTTATGTTGATTGTGTTCTTTCCATCCCTCGACACATGCACACCTCATCTTCACTCCCATTCCGGTCACCCCACTCCACCTTCCATCATATTTATATAAACTATGTACAATTATTTTTCGAGACATTATTTTTGAAGAAGAATATTTTCCTAGGTACTATACACGCTATAAATGTGAAACAAAAGGAATAAAAATCAGATTATTTTTTTCTAAAAAAAAGATTTGATCTTATAATGATACACACTTTGAAAGGTACTCCTTTTGAAAATGTGTTGCAACTTGTGAGGCTAAATCTATGGTTATAATTGGATGTTCCCTTTTAAAGTCATTCATGCAATTTATATGATTCTTTTTTCAAATGAAAATATATATAAAGGTTTTGAGTACACATAAAAACATAAATAATCCTAAAAAAAATATTGAAAAATGTTTCTATATAATGATATTATGTCAAAAAATTTTGTGGACGTCCATAAAGACCTTGGTTAAGCAGGCGGTTGGATCTCACGGCCAGTACAATTCATTTTCAAGGTCAAATGAATCCCGAAGCGTGCATACCCTTCATTTCGATGATTTTCGTGTGCTATAGCACACCATTTTTTGGTGATTCGAATTTCGGCACTAAAAATATCGAAATTTTTAGTGGACGTCCGTCAAGACCTTGTCTATGCATTCGATTGGCCCTTATGGCGAGCCCGACCTACTTTTAAGGTCAAACGAGCCCCGAAGCGCTTATACCCCAATTTCAACAATTTTCATGTGCCATAGCACAACATTTTTTTTGGTTATCCAGATTCGACGTTAATAATACCAAAGTTTTTTGTCGAAGTCCATCAAGACCTAGGCTATGCATCTGGTTGGCCTTCACGGCCAGTCCGACTCATTTTCAAGGTCAAACGAGCCCCGAAGCGCGCTACTCCCCATTTCGACGATCTTTGTGTGTTATAGCACACGATTTTTTGGTGATCCAAATTCCAACGTAAAAAATACCAAAATTTTTTGTGGACATCCGTAAAGACCTTGAATATGCATCTGGTTGGCCCCTACAGTAGGCCTGACTAATTTTCAAGGTCAAACGAGTCCTGATGCGCGCATACCCTTCATTTTGACAATTTTTTAATTTTTGGTGATTAGGATTCCGACGTAAAAATTTTTTGTGGACGTACCTCAAGATCTTGGTTATACAGCTGATTGTCCCTCATATCCAGTCCAACTCGTTTTCAAGGTCAAACTAGGCCCGAAGCGCGCATACCCCCAATTTCAATGATCTTCGTGTACTTTAGCACATCATTTTTTTGGTGATCTGAATTCCAGCGTAAAAAATACCAAATTTTTTTGTGGACGTCCGTCAAGACCTTGGTTGTGCATAAGGTTGGCCCTCACGGTCATTCCGACCCGTTTTCAAGGTCAAACGAGCTCCGAAGCGCGCATACCCCACATTTTGACGATTTTCGTGTGCTATAACACACTACTTTTTAGTGATCCGGATTCCAGCGTTAAAAGTACCAAAATTTCTAGTGGACATCCGTCAAGACCTTGGCTATGCAATCGGTTGTCCCTCATGGCCAGCCCAACAAATTTTTTCAAGGTCAAACGAGCCCCGAAGCGCGTATACCCTGTATTTCGATGATTTTTGTGTGCATACTATTGTTATGGTGATCCAGATTCCGACATCAAAAATGTCAAAAAAATTTATCGAAGTCCGTCAAGACCTTGGTTATGCAGCCGGTTGGCTCTCACGGCCAGTTCGACCCATTTTCAAGGTCAAACGAGCCCCGAAGCGCGCATACTCTCCATTTCAATGATTTTCGTGTGTATAGCAAACCATTTTTTGGGTGATCCATATTCAGAAGTCAAAAAGTCCAAATTTTTTTGTGGACGTCCGTCAAGACCTTGGCTATGCAGCCAGTTGGCCATCACAACCAGTCCGACCAATTTTCAAGGTCAAACGAGCCCTGAAGAGCGCATACCCCCATTTAGATTATTTTCGTGTGTTATAGCAAACCATTTAAGGGTGATTCGGATTCCGATGTCAAAAATGCCAATTTTTTTGTGGACGTCCGTTAAGACCTTGACTATACATCCGGTTAGCCCTCACGGCCAGTCCAACCCATTTTCAAGGTCAAAAGAGCCCCGAAGCGCGCTTACCCCCTATTTAGACGATTTTCGTGTGCTATAGTAAACCATTTTTTGGGTGATCCGGACTCCGACGTCAAAAATGCCAAAAAATTTTGTGGTTGTCCTTCAAGACCTTGGCTATGCAGCCGGTTGGCCCTCACGGCCATTCCGACCCATTTTTAAGTTCAAACGAGCCCTGAAGCGCGCATACCCCCTATATCAATGATTTTTGTGTGCAAACACTTTTTGGGTGATCCAGATTCTGATGTCAAAAATGCCAAAAATTTTGGTGGACGTCCGTCAAGACCTTGGTTATGCATACGGTTGTCCCTCACGGCCATTCCGACCCATTTTCAACGTCGGATCACAAAAATTTCATTGACTATAACACACGAAAATCGATAAAATATCTTTTTATTTGCTTTGTGGCTCGTTTGAACTTGAAAATGCGTTTGTTTTTCCTGCGGAACGAACTAGACACATTGCCAACATCTTAACGGACGTCCATGAAAATTTTCGTCCATTTCGTTTTGGGAATTGTGGATCACAAAAATTCCACGGA